TTTTTTTTTTAGTACTGGAGCTTGAACCCAGAGCCTTTGCAATCAGCTGTATCTCCGCCTTTTTTTTTTTTTTAATTTTGAGATGGGATCTCACTGAGTCACTACATTGCCCAGGCTGAGCTCAAACTTGTGATCCTCCTGCCTCTGTCTCCGAGACAGCTGGGATTATAGGTGTGTGCCACAAGGCCCAACTATAATCACCCTCTTTCGGAAAGTACCAAGGGGAGCATGAGGATGATCCTACCCCTCATCAGTGACACGGGACCTCTTCCCATGTCCCAAATACCTGGGTTTGACCCCGGTGGTATAAAATGTCCAAAACACACCGCGCCCTGGCGTTGCCTTTCTCCAGGTGCCTGATGGGGTGGGAGAGGCACAGCTTGGGCTTTGTCATTTCTAATGCTGGGATGGAGACCAAGGAGCTCGAGATGTCCCCAGGCCTTTGAACACCTCAGAGGCCCAGGTTGGACAAAGGAAACCGAGGACCAGGCTGGGATTGCAACGCTGTGGAGAGGACAGAAAGCAGCTGGGCAGAGGCTGCGCGGCCCACGAAGGCGCTGCTGCTTCTCTCGGAAGCAATGCAGAGGAAACCTGCTGAGCAGCAACTAGCATGTGCTTTCATGAAGCCCTCCTACAACCTCAGGAGAAGCAGTGCTATTCCAGTTGGCTCGATGACAAAACTGAAATCCTGAGCAATTAAAATCCAAATCCAAGATGGCTCCACTTGTTGCAGCCCCAGACTGGGAATGCAGGTCGGTTTGGCTCCAGACCCCGTGTTCTCCCTCCCATGACTGCTGCATATTTTATGCCTCTGGCTGACTCCAAAGAAAACAGACTTGGCCCTGTGACCTGCTGCTGCAGAGCAGTGCCTCTAGAGTGCTCGATTACTTAGCGTGAACTTGCGTATACCTTCACCAAGGCTGTGGGCAACATGGGACCAGGAGAGCTGGAGCCAGTGGAAGCTGCCTCAGGAAGCGGAGTAGAAGCTCCTTAACCTGGAAGGGCCGCAGACAGTCACACGAGTGGTACCCAGAGGCCGCCAGGTGTAAGACTCGGGATAAATTGATCAGCTAAGCTGCTGACCGATGTGACAGTGACGATTATAAGTAACTTAGTGGTCACCTCTGAAATTAAAATATTAAGCTCTCCATGAATACATACTCCACTAACCTTGGGAAAATAATAAATCAGAGTCCACCGGACAGTGCGAAGAATCTGAGATTCTGTCCTTGGCTGAGGAGCAGAGGTGACTCCAGCTCCTGGATCTGGCCAGGGGCAGAGGCCAGCCAGGAACCTCTAGCTTTGACCCCAGTTAGCGTCCGTCCACTGCACAGAACAAAAGCAATTTCCACTTATGCTAACATCTACACATGGCTTCCTGGTCATTTACTGTGTTCTATTCATCTCCCTGGTTCTGGTACCATCAGGAAGAATCTGGCTGGCATGTTTGCAGGCTTTCCCACCCATCTCAAACTAGACAGCAAGCTCTCCCTCCTCTGTCTCGGTTCTGCTGTGTCCTGAATACTTGGAGTAGTAACCTGGCATGTGAAGAAGATGTTAATCAATGTGTATAAAAGGAAATCTGGGAAGGGGGAGGAAGTGAAAGAAACCTCTACCACCACCTTCTATGTACCAAGAACACTGGATATGATCATACTTCATTTCCTTTGTACGTTAATTTACACCTTGCTTTATTTCTCAAATGTAGCCACATGCATGGTAAGACCTATTTCCAGTGAGGAAACTCAGACACGGAAAGGAAAAGTGATCAGACTACAAGGATTCAACCAGCGTGTAGCAGGGCAGAATTTGAATCTGGTACCAGTGCTTATGCCAGCATATTCTTGTCTCTAAGCAATCTGCTGGTGGAGAACAAGCATTTATTCATTCAACACCTATTTACTGAGTGTCAATTCTATGTTAGGCATAGTTCTGGGCTTGTGGGATATCAAAATCCCTGCTCTTGCAGAACTTGACATTTCATGGAGATCTAAAATTTCAGCCGTGGGGAACCCAGGAAAGGGCAGTGGGCCCAGGGATGCTGAAGGGCAGAGGACCCTCTGAGGCCACGCTCTTGGGCTAAGCTCCACTGTTTCCTGCATGGAAGGAGCCCTGGGGCAAAGGATGCTCCAGTGAACAGAGTAGCTGGCAATTTCACCCATGCTGGGCCTTGGCTCTTTGCAATCCAATAGGCTGGGCCATTCATAGCTGAGCAGAGTTCTGGAGAGAAGGGGACATTCGATTACATCCAGGCTCTCGTTTTGGTTTTTTCCTGGAACAACTACTCCCCCCAGAAAGCCTCCAGCTCTGCAATGAAAGCTGAAGGTCTTCGAGGCAGAGTGTGTGAGACCGAGAGACCACGGCTCCTAGGAGCAAACAGTCCAATGCTCATGGAACAACTCCAGCTCTGGGGCTGAGCTTTGTGAACAGGGCAAGGGCAGAGCCTCCTCCCTGCCCATTCCCACAGGAAATTCAAGCATCAAAGTCGTCTGATCACAGGGGTCAGATCCAGAATCCAGCGAGCCAGTTCCCAAGCTTCCTATGAACCTCTGGGAGCATCATAACTGCCTCGAGCTCTGGGCTGCAGTCCGGATTTGGGGAGGAGGGGTTCTGGCCAGCTCTGTGCAGCAGCCCCTGCAGCCCCAGGTTGGGGGCTCTGGAAGAATCTGAGTGGGCAGAGGTGTGGCTGCTGGTGACCCCGGCTGGGCCTTGACTCAGTGCAGCAGAAGGCTTCCTTGGCAGCGTTGCAGGGCACAGGTGTCAGAGCAGGAGCCTAAGAACACACGGGACTCTGCAGCCTTCGATGGCTTCTCTCATTGCTTGAGATGGTCATGACCCTCCAGCCTGCACGCTCTAGGTTCATCTCATTATCATTGCACACTACCATCGAATCCTTCCCTGGTCGTCATGACCGACTGTGAACACGCCTGTGGGTGCTGAGCTTTCTGCCCAGAAGGTCCTTGGCCTTGGCCTCTGTCCAGCGAGCTCCTCATAATGAGGCAGCTGCAGCATCGAAACCCTGGAAGGCCCCTCTGATCCACGGGGGTTGTACTGGGCTCTCCTGTCTCAGGACCAGTTTACCTCGCAGCTCCCTCTGTTGGTGCAGCTAGAACTCAGAGTGGGATTTATCTGCTTTGCCCACTAGACAGTGACATTCTCTGAGGTTGATCTTGGTGTTTTCCACCTAAACGGCAGCAGAGAGAGTCTTTGTGCTTTGGGATGGGAATCCGGCTGCCATGGTGAATGATGGGTGTGTTCTGGGAGGCAAAGGGAGACCACGGTGTTTAACAGTAAGAGAGGAGAGTTGCATAAGTTGTTTTGAAACAATTATCCTTGGCTACAAGGATCAATAAGGGTGGTGTCATTCCAAGGCTGAATGGGCAGTTGCTAAGCAGACATCTTTGTAGAAGCGTATTTGTGCAAGGTTGTAGTTTTGGCAACGTCTTTCATGAAAGTTCCTGTTGCTAGGCGATCCTCTCCAGGACCCACCCTTGGAAGCCTGAATCCATCAGTGTGAGCGTGCCACGAGTGACTCCATTCTGCTCAAGACAATTTCCCCACTGTGAATCAACTGCGCTGCATCCTGAGAGCCTAGAGAAGCAGCGTGCGGGGCAAGGCTGTAAGGAATCCACCGAGTGCTGCTGCGCTGTGGGTGTCATGCTGCAGGAAGGTGCTTGCTTAGCGTGTGATCTCCAGCACTGCAATAAATAAGTAAACAAACATCGAAACATTTTTTAAAAAGGAATTTGTTTAGTGAATGAAAGCTCTGGTCCGGGCTGGTCTGCAGCAAGTGTCCATGCAAAACTGGATGATGTGCCCTGGGAGCTCACCCGCTACGGGCTAAAGTATTTAATACAATATTTAAAAATTCTGCACTGATGCCCAGAACTCCATGAAAACCCCACCTCATGATGTCAAATCGACATGGGCTCTGAGCCTGCCCTAGTCCTGGCAATGAGTACTAAGCACAGTCCATGTTGCATGGAGGCACTGCCATCCTGAGATGGACAGGAGGAAACAGGCAGAAAGGCAAGTGAAGGTGCCGGAGACCTGGAAGGTGGCAAGGTTATCAATCGGTGCCAACCAAAGCCACTCCCAGCCGATCTTCAGTAAAAGAAATGCATTGATGGCTTCAGGCCTTGTCCAGGCCAAGGGGATCACAGCCCGGGTGGGTGCGCTGTGGCTGGCACCTGGCACTGCCCACACCACTGCCACTTCTGATGATCTCATTGCCTGATTGGCCCCCAGGTGTCAGAGTCCTGTGCAGGAGAGGCCACTGTCCCGTCCTCTGTGAGGCCACGCCTGCACACATGACAGGTGAGAGGGATGTCATTCGGCTTTGTGGTGGCCACTGCGGACTGAGTTCCATCACTGGCCCACAAAAGGGAGTCTCTCCGGCTAGAAAAGGGGGTGCATGGTGGCCGTGGGATACTAAACAAAGGACACATAATAAAGGGAACATTGAATTTTCCTGTATGGCAGCTGTTTAAAGTCATTAGTTAAAATAGACAACTCTGGAGAAAGAACTTTGGAAGGAATACTTTAGAATAAATTCCCTAGAGCCCTTTTATGTTGCATTGTTTAGGAAAGAAAGGCAAGAAAGACGTCTGTGCATGCTCGGTAGAGACGCAGCCACGTTATGCCTAGCTGTACAGTACTCGTCAGCATCTTCCATCTGTGGTTGGTTGAACCTGCGGATGCAGAACCTTCGGACCTGCAGCCTGCGCTGTGCTGACTCAGCTTCACTTCTGGGAATGTGTGGCCCAGGTGTGCATGTGAAGGCCAGGGGACGCGTGAATTGTTTTCCATGGGGGGCAGCCATGGAGAGGGGTCCTCTTACGGTGCGCAGTGCACTGTTGCCAGAAGGCTGCTTATCCTGGCAGCAGGGTCAAGCTTCACCGTCACTTGTGGCTCTGGTGTCTTTATGCTGTCACTTTACTCCCCTGGCCCAGACAGCCACAGACCATAAGGCAGGAGTCTGAACAGGTCACTGTTCTGCTCTTGGGCTGTCAGAGGCGGAGTGGGCAGGAGGAGAGAGCAGCTTCCTCCCGTGCACCCCTCTGATGTCCAGGTGCCACCACCAGGTGAAGCTCAAGGGGACACAGGAAGTCAGGTGTCCTGGAGGCGATTCAAGCCCAGATGGGTACTCACTGTTGCTTGGCTCTGAATCGAGAATGAGCTGTCCCTTACTTACAGAGCTCTGAAGAGGTTCGGCATTTTCCTTGCAGAAGAAATAATGTGATGAATTTGGCTACAAGCAGCCAGATGACAGGCTTTCTCTTTGTTGTCACCTCCGATCTTCTATCCAGATTTGACCTCATACGTAACGTGAACCAATCACACCTTCCCAGTAGCTCTTCCATGGGCTGTGGGCACCCGCATTTCCCCATATTCCAGCCACTGGCTTTCTTCTTACTTTCTGTAATGGAGAATTTGGAACCTGCATACAAGGCAGCCCCAGAACCCCTACCTAGCCTCAGTCGTGTTCCCGCCTGAAATGGGTGCACCTTGCCAAGTCCCCTAGTGCTGTCACATCTCCAAGCCTCCTCAACTGGGGAGTTTTCTTTAGAATGCAATGTTAATTTCACTTCCTTTGGGGTTTTCTCTAAATGCAATGGATTCTCTTTTTAGATTTTTGCACTTAGTACTCTAAGCATCATTAAGTGGCTCTTGAAATATTATGCAGAATGATATGCATGTAAATGTTCTCTTTTGCAAATTCTTAACTCTATTTTTTTGTCTCTGTTCATCTCTGCCCCCTTGTCCAGGGCCTCATGCCCCAGCCCTTTGATCATTGCTTTGTTGCATTTTGACAGATCCAGGGATTTGTTGAGTCCTTCATCTTGCATTCCCTTTTTAGATTATTCTTTTTTAAATCTACCACAACCATCTGCCACTTAATAGAGTTTAACTGAGCAACTCTGTAGTACGTGAGCAGCCAGGTCCAAGCAAAGAGTTTCTTTCTGGGAATGGGTCCCTAAGTGTCAAAGACAGGGCCTGCCTGTCACAGACTAAATGCTCCTCCTTAAAAGCTCACTCTTTCCAAGTATGATGATTCAGATCTATAATCTAACTGCTCAGGAGGCTGGGATAGGAGGGTCAAAACTTTGAGGCTAACTTGGGCAACTTAGCAAGAGCCTGTCCCAAAATAAAAACTAAAAAGGGCTGGGGGTGTAGCTCAGTGGTAGGGTGCTTACCTAGCATGCACCAAGTCTCTAATATTGCAGAAAGAAAAGAAGGAAGGAAGGGAGGGAGGGAGGAGGAAGGACAATCCCAGTCTTGGTGTGGCCTCCTGGGAGCTCTGTGGACTAAACAGTTCTTTGCTTTGAAGGTCTTCTCTCTTCTACCACCTGGTTCACTCCTCACCTGCTCAGGTCTAGTGTGAAAGCCTTTCCCGGTGAGACCTCCTAAAATCTCCACTCTGAAGTCTCTCTTTATCCTCCTGCTCTGCTTTCAGAGCTCTGATTGACTTCCGATATGTATATCGCATGTTTTTATGTCTGTTGTATATCGTCTGTTCTCCTAAGTAGAACAGTGGCTCCATGAAGGAAGGGTCATTGCCTTGTTCACAAGTAGGTCTCAAGAGACAGTTCTCACCAGGCTGGTCTGGGCATGCTGGGGATGCTCAGTTACTGTGTGTTGGATGAATGAATAAGTGAGTTTGTGTCTCCTAGAAATAGGAGAATTTCTGAGCCAGAATTTCTACAGCACTTCTGGGAGATTTTTTTCCTTAAGAACTGAATTGGCAGCATGGTTGAAGGTCTGGCCTTTCAGGTTGGCAGACTCAGCCAGCTAACTGACCTTAGGTACATCAATGGAAACACCAGTCAGCCCATCTACAAAATGATGGTGCTATAGGTTAACTTGTTTGCCTCCAAAGGATGATCAAGTCCCATTGGCTGTAAATGTGACCTTATTTGGAAAGGTCCTAACAATGAATCCTAATTCAATATGGCTGGAGTCCTTTTCAAAAGGAGGCAGTACCATCAGAGATAGACTTGTGTGTACAGAGGGAAGATGATGAAAGACACAGGGAGGATTCTACCTACCAACCAAGAACATCAGGGGCCATCTGAAGCCAAGAGAAGGGACTGGAATAGATGCCCCCACAATCGTAGAAGGAGCCAACTCTGTTGAAACCCTGCTTCGGGCCTCCATGTGGAGGAATGAACCTTTCTTTTGTTTAAGCCATCTTGTCTGTGGTACTGTGTTACAGCAGCCCCAGGACACCAGTGTGGTTCCGTGATACATGTGGACACGTCTTCTTACACAGCAGGCCACTTCACCTGGAAGTGCTGATTGACACCCACCTCCTGGACTGTGGACTCCATGGGGCAGAACCACTTGAACCCCAACACCTAGCACTGTCCTGGCCCCTCATGGATGATCAATATATTTTTGTTAAGTTTACTTAGGTAATACTTTCTAGTGTTATCTTTAATAGTAAATGAAATATATATTTAAGGTGCTTAAAATAATGGTTGTACTCATTAACGTTAACTATTTTCTTATTATGAAAGTAAGAAAGTAGAACCTGGATCTATGAGTCTCAATTTCTCCTCTGGAAAGTGGATATAACAATACCCACCTTGTGAGGCTTTAACTAAATAAGGGAATACATACCCATATTTATAGCAGCATAGTTCCTAATAGCTAAATCTTAGAAGTGGCCCATATGTCCACCAGCAGGTGAGTGGATAAAGAAAATGTGGTATTTACACACAATGGAGTACTATTCTGCCATACAGAAGGGTACACTGGAGTCATTTGTAGGAAAATGGATGCACCATGAGGCCATAAAGTCAAGTGAAAGACACCAGACCCATAAGCTTAAATTGTCCATGGTTTCTCTTATATGAGAAATCCAAAGTATAAATAAATAGCAAAATAAAAGACAGGTAAGAAGTAGGGAGATAGAGCTTTCTTGACTGGGAAGGGATGAAGAGATGGGGAAGGTGGAAGAGGAAGGGGATGAAAAAGGAATGAAGATGTGTTCTGTCCATCACCAGCTCCGCACAGGAATGGAAACATTATGCACTGCCAATGGACTAATATAAAAAAGTTAGAAAAATCTTTTAAAAATAATTAAATAAGAGAATGTGTGGAAATCACTTCACTCAGTGCAAATAGAAAGTCAATAAGTGGCCCTAACAGGTACACAAAACTGCCCGTGGATGTTCTTCATTGATCTTTGAAAGCATTTTTGCTGTTGCTACATTTACTTAAGAGCTTGTAACTTCATTTTATTGTGCCTTGGATTCCTCTGACATTCACTGAAGACCTATTATGTGCTAAGCCATTTCGCATTTAGTCCATTCTTTTTTTTCTAAGTGCTTCTCTGCTCAAATTTAGAAGTTAAATTTGGAATTTCCACAAGCTAGAATGTGCACCCAGCTCCTGTGCTGCCCCGAGCATTTGCAGACATCCATGAGGAATCCAGAAAGGACCAGCGACATTCCCCGAAAGAATTCTCTTTGTAGGGAAATGAGATGGAACACTCTGATACTCAACCACCTGGACCCACTGAACTGGCAACAAAAGAGGATCTGGAAAAAATGAAATCAGAAATA